CAGCTGCTCTGCTTCCAATCCAGTTTCCAGCTAATTGCACCTGGAAAGGCAATGGAAGATGGCCCAAGTACATGGGCTTCTGCCACCCAAGTGGGAGACCCAGATGGAGTTCCTGATTCAGCCTTGCCCAGTACTGGCTGTTGGGGTCATTTGGGGAGTGAACTGGCAAATGGAAGATCTTTCTCACTGTCTCTCCCTGTCACTCTTTCAATTAAACAAATAAATCTTTAAAAAAATTTAAAAAGCAGAATTAGAAAATGTCAGTCTTCTGTCAAAACCCCTTCCCAACACTCTTTAGGTAACATCCTCCTCCTAATGGGCTCTGAATGACCTCTGGTGTCACCATTCAGCGCTTCTCTCTGCACTCTAGCCTCCCTCAGCCTTTCCATTTCAGCCTCAGAGCTCCTAAGTCACTGTATTCCCCAGGGACTCTGGTTGAGGGCTTCTTCCTTCAGATCTCTGCTCAAGCAGCACCCTCATCTCCCGAATGCAATGGCCCCCATCCACAGCACTTCGACACCAGGGAGCTCCTGTACATGTTCACATGGTCGTCAACCCGATCTGCTCTTAGAGCAGGGGAGCATCAAAGGAGGGGCTTTTGGGCAGCACTCCTGCACACATGGGCACCAATGATCTATGCTGAATATGTCTATTCCCTCACTAAGTTCCAGGAGTCCTCATTTGGTGCCCTGTGCTACAATCTTGAATGAGCCTCAACCCATGCAGATGTGTGCCTGGAGACCTGTGCTGATCTTGTGAATACAGAGCAAACGACCGTGAGAGGTCATGGCAAGGAGCTGATCCACACACCAGTGACGCTCTTGGGGAAGATGACAGCAGACACACAAACTGCACTCATAACACTGCAACTGGTTTAATGGGTTTCTTTCAGTATTTCCATCAGACATGTGCCCCTTGAGGGGACTTGGTATCAAGTAAACATCCTATTTTTAGATAATTTCCAAAGTCACCAAACAAGCTACATTCTGCACACCTTCCACTACCTTAAGGCTGGAAAGAGAACAGTGAGGCACTGTGTGTGCGCGGGGGTGGACGGCACAGCTGGCCGGCTTTTCCATTACCTGTCTCCTGCTCTACAGCAGACCCTCTTTCCACTCCCTCACTGGTTCCCATCTCCACCCGAGGAGGTTCAGTCACACTGTCTGGGGGTGTCACATCCCAATACCAAAGTCTACACACAGGGCATGCACTTGGCACTTAGGAGAGAACAGATACTATATTCCATCCTCACTACATTCTAATGAAACTCCTGTCCTGTTGTTTTCTGTCTGACTAACCTGGTCTCAGGAGTTCAGATCCTGTATGTAGGTCTAACCAGGGCCCAGGCTGACAGACACCTCTGTTCCAGCCCACCTCTCAGGCTCCACGTTTGCAACAGTGCTGATACTAAAACCAGAGGGCCACCGTGTGGACAAGGAGAAGCATGGCACCAAATATCTGGCTCTAGAGGTGCACCTCTCAGAGTTTACAGGAATGGTTGCCTCCTTGATCTTGGGGAGCACACAGGTCTCAAGCACTTGGTCTGAGCCACAGGACTGCAGGAATTCGTCTGGGCAACACCTGTGTGGACTACATATCTTCCCCATTAGCCAAACTTTGCACTATACTTCCATATCTTGAGATTAACATAAATACTCTGCTCCCTATACCTTCCCCATTGGCTCTCATGATCCTTCACTCAACTTAAATGTTTAATTAAAAAAAAAAAAAAAAGGTGGTCATGTGGGGCCGCATATGGGAAGATGTTATATTGTTAATTAAAAATTTTAAAAGTTTACAATTTAGAAATGTTAACATACACGTTTCCATACTTACATGAGGATATGGTGGGAAGAAACTCTGTGTATATGTGTAGGAAACCAGAACTCAAAGTCAGGTTCTCCCACTGTACTCTCACAACACAATTCTGTGACCACATGTATGGGGGATTTTTCCAGAGCAGCAGGCAAGCAATCAGTTCCGCAGCTGACACCAGCTGGGTATCTTCCCATTCAATCAGTTCTGGCACTGTCTACCTGGAGATAGCATCAGAATCCACAGGTTGAGGGCTTGGTCCCCAAGACTGCTCCACACTGGATGACAATCATAGATCCACATGGTTTTCCCTGTGCTTCTGACTGATTTGTTGTAAATCAGGGTTCCCAAGAACCCCTCCTAGGGTGGGATTAATTTGCTCAAGTACCTAACAGAACTCGAAGAACCACTCGGTTCACATTTATTACAAAGGATATTAGAAAAGACACAGAGGAATACACATGGAGTGAGGTATGGGGAAGGGGTGCCTAGCTTCCATGCCTCCTCTGGGTTCACTACTTTCCAGGAATCTCAAGGTGTTCAGCTATCCAGAAATTTTCCAAGACCAGTCGTTTTTGGGCTTTGCCCTTACATAAGTGTGATTAAATCACTGGCCAGCAATGATCTGCTCAATCTTCAGCCTCTCTCCTCTCCTCAGTGACTGGGAGCAGAGATGAAAGCCCCAACCCTCTAATCCTGCCAGGCTCTCTCTGGGTGACAGGCCCCATCCTGAAGCTACCTGGGGGTTGCAGTCAGCAATCGATTCATTTGCATACAAAAAGAGATCCCAACAATTTGGGAATTCTCTGTCAGGAAGTATGTATGTTGTTTTACCACAGCATAGCGTATGTATGTAAGGAGGGCGGGACTCTGTGCTTGTGTGTACAGGAAGGGATGGGGGAGCTGGATAAAGGGAGTGATGGGGGTGGGGATGAAAAATGTTTGCTTGGAAAAACAAGGTTTGTACAAATAAAAATGGTTACTTGTGGATTTTCTACCATGACCTAGCCCAAAACAGAGTTCCACACATGGACCACACAAGTCACAAGAATGCGGACTAGGCAGTGACCATAGCACAATCCCAGAAAACAGCTCTCCTCCTCCAGTCCCTGCTCCCCTCCACCGCCTGGACCTCAGACTCCCCAGACCCACCTTCCTCCACAGACTCCCCCTCTAACCCCTCCAGCTCCATTTCTGGGTCTGCTTACAGACCTTGATGGAGTCCTCTCTCCCTCCATGCTCAGAGCCCTAGCATCTCTCTGGAACTTCTCTTATCTTAGCTTGTGAGGGCAAACAAAAGGGGATTCTGATGGCTTAATATATGTGAGGCAAAGGAATGAGAGACTTGACTATAAATTTTACAGGTACAATCAAGCATTCTGAGACCATCCATGCACATCTCCAAAGGGTTCAGAGGTCTCTGACCATGTGCATGTAGCCTGTTTGGGAGAAGTTGGGTTTTCATTGTTATTTCCTTGCTCCTCACTGTGTGACAGCCTGTGGACTGCTGTCCAAAGATCACCTAATGGACATAATCTGCTAAACTCAAGCAATAAGTATGCTTTCTTTTTTCCAAGTTCACGTGGATAGGTTTAGGTTGACAAGACTTATTACTTTAACATTCTGGGGCTGGCCTTGCTCAGGATTGTTGAAGTACAGCCAGCATCAAACACAAGCCCTCACACACCACACATTCCATGTACCCTCCAACATTCTACATCCCCCATCTCACCAACTGCCACCCCCTGACCCCTCCCCTACTCCGTGCTTACAACACCATCTCCCAATGTTACCATGGATGCCATTTTCTCTACACAGCCCATCATGTCTATAGATATCACCACTCTCCATAACTCACACCTCCACAGACGTCACCTCCGTACCTCACCATCTCCACAGATATCACCTCCACACCTTACCGCCCCCACAGACCTCACCTCCATACCTCACCAATTCCACAAACATCACCATCTATCCACACCTCACCATCTCCACAGAGGTGAACTCTACATCTTACCACCTCCACAGACATCACCTCTGTACCTCACCACCTCCACAGACATCACCTCCACACCTCCACAGACATCACCTCCATAGCTCACCACTTCCACAAACATCACCATCCCTCCACATCTCAACATCTCCACATATATCAACTCCATACCTCACTACCTCCACAGACATCACCTATGTACCTCATCACCTCCACAGACATCACCTCCACACCTCACCACTTCCACAAACATTACCATCTCCCCACACCTCACCACCTCCACTGATGTCAACTCCACATCTTACCACCTCCACAGATGTCACCATCCCATCACACCTCACCACCTCCACAAACATTACCATCCCTCCACACCTCACCATCTCCACAGACCTCACCTCCAACTCCACAGACGTCACCATCCTTGCACACCTCACCACCTCCACAGAGGTCAACTCCACATCTTACCACCTGCACAGATGTCAGCATCCCTCCATACCTCACCACCTCCACAAACATTACCATCTCCTCACACCTCACCATCTCCAGACCTCACCTCCATACCTCACCACCTCCACAGACCTCACCTCCAACTCCACAGATGTCACCATCCCTCCACACCTCACCACCTCCACTAACAGCAACTCCATACCTCACCACCTCCACAGACGTCACTTCTGTACCTCATCACCTCCACAAACATCACCTGTTCCTCTCCACCTCCTCAGACATCACCTCCACACCTCACCACCTCCACAAACATCACCATCTCCCCACACCTCACCACCTCTAGACATCACTATCCCTCCACAGCTCATCATCTCCACAAACATCACCTCTGTACCTCACCATCTCCACAGACCTCACCTCCATACCTCACCACTTCCACAAACATCACCATCTATCCATACCTCACCACCTCTACGGACGTCACCTCCACACCTCACCACCTCCGCAGAACTCACCATCCCTGCACACCTCACCACCTCCACCGACATCACCTCCACCGACATCACCTCCACACCTCACCATCTCAGACATCACCTCCACAGACCTCACCATCCCTGCACACCTCACCACCTCCACAGACGTCACCAATTACGTTCCACCAGGTCCACAGTGGACTGTCTCCACCACGCCACACCACACCGCCTCCCTAGGTCCCACACTCTGTCCTCACTCCATTTCCGTGTACCTCACTGCCGACTCCACAGCCCGCCACATGTCATCCGCTCTGCGGCTTGGGGCCGTGCCAGCGAGCGGTACCAAGCAGGGCCGAAAGCGCTTGGCACAGGCTCTGCCGTCGGACAGAGCCGCCGCTCACCTGAGGCGCTGGAGAGTAACTCTCAGGACGCGCGCCGGGATCGAAGCCGGACACCCTAACTGTCGGACACCACCAGGAGCAGGCAAACCGGAAGCACGGCTTGCGCATGCTCGCGGGCCGGCGCTCAGGACTCCATGTCCGGTGGGTACAGAACGCCCTCGGACTCCCGGTTCCGAGCCCGTGCCTCGTCATTTCCGCTCCGGCCGGCGCCTCCCCAGAACACTGTTGGCGGTCGCCCCTCGGTCTCTGCTCCCGGCTGCAGTAACAAGCGGAGTGCGCGCCCCGCAGCCCCAGCCCCGCCCCTGGGGCCCTCTGATGGACCAGGAGACGCGCGCCCTCGCGGAACGCCACTTCCGGGGCCTCGGGGGCGTCCCGGGCGGCAGTGGGGCCCCGGGCCGCGTGGCCTTCATCCAGGCGCCCAGCGCCTTCTCCTACGCCGACTTCTTCAGGGGCTTTCTGCTTCCCAACCTGCCCTGCGTGTTCTCCAGCGCCTTCACCGCGGCCTGGGGCAGCCGGCGGCGCTGGGTGACGGCCGCCGGCAAGCCCGACTTCGACTACCTGCTCCGGAAGTACGGTGAGGGCACGGGACGCCCAGCGTGCCAGGGGCGCGGGGTCTGGCCGGGGGCGCCCCTCGGGGCGGGAGGCTGCGTGGTCGTTTGCGGGGTGAGTGACTCCCAGGAGGGCGCGCCGCGTGCAGCCAGGTCCCCGGGAGGTCTGCTCCTGACGCCCCTGTTTCAGGAGATGTGGTCGTACCTGTTGCCAACTGCGGGGTCCGGGAGTACAACGCCAACCCCAAGGAACACATGCCTCTTCGAGACTACATCAGCTACTGGAGGGACTACATTCAGGGAGGCTACTCTTCTCCAAGGGGCTGCCTTTACCTGAAAGACTGGCATCTGTGCAGGTAAGGCGGGCAGCACGCTTTGCTCAGTCTGGCTGGAGGTGAACCCTGGCCACCTCAGGGAGGAGCTGTAATCCTTGTCTTCAGCCAGGCTGAAGCGTCGACTTCTTTCGGGATGGTCAGCACCTCACCGCTCACTGCATGGTGCTCGCCACCGAGGAACGCGGGCTGCGGGTATCCGTGTGCCCAGGGTTGTCTGTGGCTCTGGAGTGCCGCTGCCACCCCTCCCCCTCAGGTGCTGCCAGGCCCGGCCTCTCCTCCCTACCCCACTTCTCCAGGCCAGGCCTATTCCCTTCACCTTGCCTGCACCAGGGGCTCCCACCAGACCCCCTTTGGATCCAGAATGTCTTTCTAGCCCAGCTATGCCCCACCGCATATTTAAGATTTTCCACTCTTCAGGGTAGCATCCAGAGCCCTTCCTCATCTGTTCCCACCTGCCACATACTGTGGCTTCAGTTTGTTATTTTTTAACGTTGCAGTGCAACGTTAAATCAATGTACATGTGCAATGTAATGTGCAAAAAATCAATGTACATTCTGTAGAAGCTACACTTTTGATTTGGATCCTTTCCGGTGCCATCAATGTACAGCCTGGAACTTTCTCAGGATGCTGGGCAGCGGCAGTAAGCACAGCTCCCAGTCAGCCACACAGTCGTGATGTAGTGCAAGACTCTGTGTTGTAAAGCTAGGGTGTCTGACAGGTTTGGTGTACCATGTGCATATTTGACCTGGGAATTTTAAAATATGGATTTATTGGGACATAACCCATCATAAGGGGAAGAACATTTATACTTTCAAGAGCAGATGCCATCATAGTCAGACCCCCAGCAGTCGTCACAGAGCAGGTGAGAAACATCACATTTCTTACTTATGTAATGGGAAAGTAAGAATGAGCTCGGGCCCCTATAATTGCCACAACCCATCCAGGGGACACAAGAAGCAATATCTTCCAGCTCACTTCCACCACTCCATGTGTTTTACGTAAGCAATGAGTGGTTTTTATGGCTTAAGTATATGCCAAATATTTCACGGGACACACTTATAGTAGAAAACTTTGTTAGTGATTGTAAATTCAGTTTTTGACTAGGTGTCCTATATTTTTTCTGGTAACCCTAAAAAATTAAAAGTTCAGAAGAAGGCATGGTGACAAATGGGCAGGGCAGGTAATATCTGGGCAGGGTTTTTGTGAGTGTGCGGGAGTTTGTCAGGTGAACAAAGGAAAGCCAGGCAGAGGGACTGGCATGGTCTTCTGCAGAACCACAAGTGGTCTGATGCTTTCAGGGCTGTGACCTATCACAGTCTCTGACGAGGAATCTGTCTAAACGTTTTGCTGTGTGGCATTGGTAGAGTTTTTCCTTCTCTGAGGCAAGTGTAATATAATCCTGTGTTAAGGTGCCAATTGTGGGTTTTAGTGGTGAACCTACAGGGAGTGAGGGGTTTAGAAGAGTACATGGGTGGCCCTCAGGCCTGGAACCGTGGCCTAGTATCCACTGGGCATAGTTGAGTTCTCTGGTTATTTGGTGAGATAGCAGAGGCGTCCCACAGGTCGGGAACCAGGATGATGCCCACCAATCCTGGGACTAGTGCAAGAGGGAGCTGCTGCCTATTCAGCTAGCTATGCCCTGTCAGAGTATACACAAAGTCGTCTTTCTTGCTTACAATTCTGGGATCTACAGTTTTGGTGGGGCCCACCTTGAGTCCCTCAGGGGTTTGTGGCTGTTGGGTGGCTCCACTAGGGCTAGGTGGTCTTAGACAGCCTCACTCACACCTGAAGGCGGTCAGCTCAGTGTCACCCACATGTTCCACATCTTTTTTATCTTACTTGAGGTGCCGGTGAGGGTGGACCTGGGGAGCAGTATGCAGGAAGTGGGCTTCTGCTGCAGCCCTGTGCCTCCCTCTCAGGGACTCCTCAGCAGAGGATGTGTTCACCCTGCCCGTGTACTTCTCATCTGACTGGCTGAATGAGTTCTGGGATGCCCTGGATGTTGACGACTACCGTTTTGTGTACGCGGGGCCAACAGGCACCTGGTAATATCACGTGTGGCCCACAGCTACCGTGTTCCTGCGGAGGGTTGGGAGGTGTGGCCACTCACCTGGCTCACAGGCCAAGGCCATCAGAGCTGGAGACATTTATCCTGTACTTGGGGGCCTTTGGGGGAAGGGGGTGTATTTGTTGACCTACTCAGAAGCAAGTCCCAGGGACCAGCATTGTGGCGTAGAGGGTAAAGCTGCCTCCTGTGATGCTGGCATCTCACATGGGTACCAGTTTGGGTCCTGGCTGCTCTGCTTCTGGTCCACCTCCCTGTTAATGTACCTGGGAAAGCAGCAGAAATGGCCCAAGTCCTGGGGCCCCTGCAATCATGTGGGAGACCTAGAAGAAGCTGCTGGCTACTGGCTTTGGCCTGGCCTAGCCCTGGTAGTTGTGGCTGTTTGGGGAGTGAAACAGTGGGTGGAACACCTCTCTGTCTCTCTAGCTCTGCCTTTCAAATAAATAAATAGACCTTTAAAGAAAAAAAAAAGACAGCAGCAAGGCCCAAACTGGGAGCATTTGCCACAGGTCCCCATTCCACGCAGACATCTTCCGCTCCTTCAGCTGGTCTGTCAACATCTGTGGGAGAAAGAAGTGGTTGCTCTTCCCGCCAGGACAAGAGGAGGCTCTGCGGGACTGCCATGGTGGTCTGCCCTATGATGTGACCTCCCCCACACTCCAGGATGCCAACCTGCACCCTAGGCATCAGTGCTGCAGTCCACCCCTCGAGATCATTCAGGAGGCTGGCGAGATGGTGTTTATACCCAGTGGGTGGCACCACCAGGTACACAATCTGGTGAGTTGGTGTACCCTGCCCTGCCCACCCCACCCCACCCCACCCAAGTTTTGCCCTACCTGACTACAGGCCCTGTCAGCAGTTAGAGGAGAGCAGTACATACCTCCTAGCAATCCCCCTGCAGAGCCAAGACATGGGGGAGGGTGGTCCACAGACAATGCAGAGGCTCCAGCCGCTGGGCTCCATTCCTGCCCTGGGCTCACACTGGATGACTGTGGACTGAGCTGATCTCAGCCCCTAGGTATGTTCCAGTGTGGCAAACACTCCCCCAACTCCACTGCCAGCACTGGGCCTGGTGCCGGAAGCACCTGGAAGAGGTTTTTACGTCAGCTTTGCCTTCCCCTTCCAGGATGACACCATCTCCATCAACCACAACTGGGTCAATGGCTGCAACCTAGCCACAATGTGGCACTTCCTGCAGCAGGAGCTCCATGCCGTGCAGCAGGAGATCAGTGAATGGAGGGACTCCATGCCGGATTGGCACCACCACTGCCAGGTGAGGACCCAGTGGGGCAGGGCTGAGGTTTGCTAGGGCTGGACTGGGGGTGTAGGAGGTCCCTGGACAATGTAGCCTGTAAGGCCCAGGAGGCAAGTAGTTACCAGTCATGTGTGAGGGGTTAACTTGGGGGCCAAGCTGTTTGTCCTCAGGGAGCTCCCAGACCATGTGGCTTGGACCCCATGGAGTGCCATCTATCCTCAGTGCCTCTGCTCACTGGACCCATATTGGGATCCTTTGCAGTCTATAGCTGTGACCATGTGGTTCACTGGCCTCTCTTTCTGGTTCAGGTCATCATGAGGTCCTGCTCTGGGATCAATTTTGAAGAATTTTACCATTTCCTCAAAGTCATCGCTGAAAGGAGGCTCCTTATTCTGGGGAAGGGAGCTGAAGGAACAGCAGAATGTGGCCCAGGCACTGGCCTGGGCCTCCAGCACGCTGTGTTTGACATTGGCCGCCTTGCAGAGGTGCTGGCTTCTGTAATTGCACACCCTGACTTCCAGAGAGTGGACACTGGTGCATTCTCACCACAGCCAGAGGAGCTGCTACGACGGCTGGAGGAGGCTATTGCTGCTGCTGCAGACCTGTAGCACCTGTGCAGGATAGGATGCCATGAGGGCTCCCTGCCCCAAGGCCCTTCCCCCAGTGAAGATGGTCCTCACCCCCGCCCCAACCCCCGTGGCCCAGGACCTGCCCCTGCTGAACAGGAAGGGCTCCCCTCTGGGAGATCTGACGTAGTCCTGCCTTCCCGAGGCCATTTTCTGAGAGCTTAAGCCATGGGTCTTGGGAGGGCGCCTGG